AAAAAAGATTTTTTTCATGCAACTGAGACATAAAATAATGATAGGGTCCATAATGAATAAAATTATATCATACTAAATATTATAATTATTTTTCTGATACTCTGAATGTGCTGCTGGTAGTGAAGTAAACAAAAATAACTTGGAAATTTTGTATATCGTCATGAGGGGTTCATATTTTTATCCTGAACTCAAATAAGAAGTTAAAATTAGGCTTTATATGTTTAATTAAGTCTATAACCATGGTTATGACTCAAAATTTTAAAAAAATCTCCGCAAATAAAGCTAACAGGGTCCACGTAGATTTCACTCATTTTGGAAGGCATTTACTGCTCTAGGCATTTACAAAATACGTCGTTTTTCTAAAAGGTGTGTACATGCACTGAGTAATTGCTCTACTGCTTCCTATTCCATACCCAATATCCTTCTGCACTCCTTTCTTTTGTTTATTTAAAGCGGTGGTTCCTCAGCCTTTTACAAAAGACGTACATATTTATTTATCATTGTATAAAGAACAAAAGCAAACTTTTTAATATGAAAATGAGGTTTCTGGTTATTTTTCGATATAAACAATTAGACAATAGTCTTTAATAACAGGCTCAAAAATTTTTTTTCATTTTGTTGAATTGTGTTATAAGCACTTGTTTTACACATATAAATAAAGCGTTTTTGCTTTAGCTAGTCAACATGTCTTTGCTAAATATTCTAGACAAACCAGCCTACAGATTTATTTCTCAGTTTTCGGTCTCAATTATGATCAAATCTCTTTTAATCATAATTTTCTTCAAGAAAATTTAATGAACTGAAAACCTAAAAACGTGGCTTTTCAATTTATGTCAAAGTGCTTTGTTTTACATTAAATTATGCTCTTGAAAGATTTCGTGTTGTCCTGTTGTTTTGGCTTTATTAAATCGTTTACTGTTTCAAAATTTACCAGAGCTAAAGAAAACTTACTCTGGTATGTTGTTAGAAACGGTGAAAACCTATTTTATGTAACAAGTTAACTCAATTTTGTAAGGGGCTAAAATATTACGAAAAAGAGTATTAACAAAACTAATATATTCATATATTTGTGAGAAAGTTCAAGGTTAAAAGAATATTCAAAAGACATTTATATTTATTAATCGATGTCAGGATATCTTTATTCAAATTGTAAGCAAAATTACTTTAAAATATTTTCTCAAGTTTTGCTTTCCATGTTAATTAAAACTTATTTTTGGTGTGGATAGCAATCAATATTGAAAAATAACAAGACTTAAAGAATAGTGGAGATATTTAAAAACGTTAATTGATCTAAAGTTAAGCTAATGTAACGTTAAGCCGTTGGTCCTGGCTGCATCTGCAGTCGTTAGCACCCGCCAATCCGCACAGGGCCCGCGTGGTGGGTCATGGCCCAATCTCCCAATTCCATCTATAGGGAAGGCCTGTGTCCCAGCAGTGGGGATATTAATAGGCTGACGAATGAAAAAATTTAAAGTTTTATATTTTTGTAAAATTTTTTTTTTGTCGTCATTTGTGTTTTGTTTAGTCCTTCATAATATAAATAGTAAATAGTGCAATCATTTATGTTAAAGATTCATTATTTAATTTAAAGCTTGAAATAGTTGAAACATAGCTGAGTGCATACTTTTGCTACTTCTATAGATCATTGCTCAGGAGTGTTCAGTAACTATAAATTGATTCCACAGTAAACTCCGACAGGTTTAATCCACAGTTGGTTTGCGGTTTTGGCGGTTGATTGAAATCTGTACCAGATTGTTATCCCCGCTACGTTGGTTTCGGTAGGTATTTCCATTATTGCAGCGTGTCACTAAATGAAAATTGCACTGAATTTTTATCTGAAAAATAATCTAAAATTCTTTAGAAGTTAAATTAAATAAATTAATTAATAATAAATTGAATGAATAACAAACTCGAAGTGACTCTGGTCCACTTGTACATTTTTAAAAATTTCGATTTAACTAAAGCAAGCATTAACCTACAGGAATATGTCAAAATGTAAATGACAATTTTTTCATTATTGTATGGGCTAAATAAAAAAAAAATGTAAAATTTAATTGTAGCAAAATGGCTCCAAATGCACATTTATTATTATTAACGGTCTATAATATTGGATGTGTTATAGCGATATCTGTTTTCAGTACATTATGAACATATTAGAACGGCTACGAAGTTACCCACTGCTGCGATAATAAGAACAAAATAGAAATAGGGCCCATCGCAATAGCGCATTCGATATTTTAGACCAATAAAAACGCACCCATATGGTTTGAGGCCTAATATTAAAATTGTTTAACTGTATTAGTTCATTTGTTAGCCAAAATATTTTTATAAAAAGTGAAATCACCTACAAATTTTTGAAAATCCAACATCGAGGATTTCCTTAGTAAACTTTTAATGTAAATCATAGATTTATGTACCGCATGGGCGCCGCCTCTGGCCGCTACGAAATCGTTTTCCAATGACCCACGAAGAACGACAGAATTTAACAGCAAAATTTATAGAGATTGTAATATATCTTATATTACAATCTCTATAAATTTTGCTCAGAATATTTTATGAAAATTGCATTACTAACATCAACGTTGCCACTAACTCTCTTCTTTATATTTTAAAATCATATAAATTAAGAAGAAAACAAACTTTTTTACTTGTAAAATGGGGGTTAATTGTTTTTTCATCTTTACCCCATCGTGTAGGGTATCGTTGAATAGGTCATTTAAAACGGCTTAGAGTTTTTTAAGACTATTTTTCGATTTAGGGATCCGCTTGTGAAATATTAAACTTTAAAATGTAAATTTTTGTTCGAGTAGGTCCTCCCCCCTCTAAAAGCTAAACTATTTGCTTGAAAATTCTGAAAAAGACATTGTAATAGTGTTTTTACGGTATGAGGGTTAAGATAGATCAGTTTGATTAAGTATATAGAAGTATATAGGTATTAGAGAATTTCTTACCTAATAAAAAATCCTTATAAGAACACATTCAAAATGACTAAGATGAATTGAAATATGAAATAAAAAAAACTATTTAAAAAACCACAATAATATATTTACGGACCCTAAACTGCACCTGACACGTGGCACGCACTTGGCCGGTCTTTATTGGATAGGATATACCTCAAAGTTGGTCCGAAATAAATTTGGAATCAAAATTGCTACCCTAAGGGTGGGGAAATAGGGATGATTGTTCACTCACAGATTTTCTCACAGACTCACCAACCCAAGTAGTAAATAGGAACTCAGATCTATCAGACATTAATGGCACCGTCTCCAAATATTAATTTTAATAAAGATAAAAAAGGTTTATTATTATCTGCTTCTCAGTTTTTTCAGCGTTTTTTTTTTGCTGAAAAGTTTTTATTAAGTAATCATTAAATGTATGTGCATTGTATATTTAATTAAAATTGCTAGTTATTTAATGAATTTTAACAATATTGAATGTATATTTTTAAAGTTATAGAAGAAAACTGTTTAAATAACTTTCAAACTGCTCTTTTGTAATTTACGAATTTCACGTAGGGACCATCGACTTGTAACCACTTTGGCCTCAGTAACAGCCTATAAACGGCTAATGGTGCATGTCAGGGTGGTGACGATTCATTTCCGGGGTGATATTTATGTGTTTTAACCTTTACATGAGCAATCACGGTTGATTTCTTTACTCATGCTGTTAGATTATTGGACTTGTTCTTAAGGGTTTCCTAACTGCTAAGTGCTTTAGCAATGTATGTTGTGTGTGTTGTGTTGTATATAATATTGACTATGATGTCAGCCTATTAAGTTTTTAAGTTAGCCTCAAATTTTTCTCTTTCTATCATGCATTTATTCTTAGATAATAATTTCAGTAATCTTAAAAGAAAGGTATTTGAAAAGTCTTTAATTTTATCAATAGTGAAAATTCAGTTAAATACGCCTACCCATCCTATTCCCATGTTAAACTTGTTTATTCCTAGCGGGACATACTAAGCGCAAGCGGTTCGTCTCCTCGTGATGCTGAGTTGAGAAGCGACCATGAGCAAAGTTGCTAACATACGTCCCACATCAAGCAATGACCTTCTTCTTCTTGCTCTTCCACGGTATTATTATCGATTATCTGGCTGAGATCTGTCTAGGATGGCAGCTACATTGACCGGTCCGAAAGATCTTTTGCACAAAATCGTTGAAGGCGGCATGGTACACGTTCCTTTACTCCGTATTTCAATTATAACCTTATATACGTATTTTTTTGTATCTTATAAGTACCAACGTATATTCTATGTTGGGTTTTGCTTGCCCATCCCTTTACTCCGTATTTCAGTTATAACTTAACCAACATCAACATTTTGTATCTTATAAGAATCAATCTATATTCTATGTTGGCCATCTAGCTGAGATGCAACGTATGTACACGTCCCTTTACTCCGTACTTCAATTACAACCTAATCTACATACGTCAACAGTTTGTATCTTATAAGTACCAACCTATATCCTATAGTGGATTTGTGCTTGGCCAGCTAGTTGAGATGCAATGTACGTACACTTCCCTTTACTCCTTATTTAAATTGCAATCTAACCAATGTCAATACTTTGTATCTTATAAGTACCAACTTATAGCCTATGTCCTATGTTGGGTTTGTGCTTGGCCATCTAGCTGAGATGCGACTTACGTCCACGTCCCTTTACTCCGTACTTAAATTACAACCTTACCTTCGCCAATAGTTTGTATTCTATAAGTTCCAGCCTATATCCTATGTTGGTTTTGTGCTTGACCGTCTAACTGAGATGCAACGTAGCTACACGCCTCTTTACTTCGTATTTCAACTACAACCTAACACATGTCAACAGTTTGCATTTTATAAGTACCAACCTTCAAGAGGCATACACCAATGTAAAGGCCCTGGGGGCGTTCCTGATGGCGCTGGGCTGGCTGGAGTGACTACGGCAACACACCTTCCTCACGCAAAACAGGAGCTATATGGACGTTAACTTGCGGAAACGTCCGTAGAAATAAGGAGAAATACCAACCTATATCCTATGTTGGGTTTGTGCTTGGCCGTCCCCCCGCCCTTGTAGGTGCCGCCGCCGAGCGCCCGCTCCTCGCCGAAGCGCGGGTACTCGCTGTGCACCCCGACGAGCGCGACGCCAGCCTCCTCGCCCGCCGCGTCACGCCCTCCGCCGGAGTACGCCTTCATCGCGCCGGGAATCGACAGCGTCGACACCGGCTTGCGCAGCTGGAATATAAAAAAAAATCTTGAGTATCGTGGAACACATATACCACCTACCAATAAGCACTGAGGAGCTCGATGTCGCAGGTGGTTAGCGCGTTCGGCTGCGATCGGTAAAGTTAAGCAACTTTGGCAGTGGTCAGTTATTGGATGGGTGACCAAAAATCTTCTAACTCGAGTTCCTCCGTGTTTCGGAAGGCACGTTAAGCCGTTGGTCCCGGTTGCATCTGCAGTCGTTAGCATCCGCCAATCCGCACTGGGCCCGCGTGGTGGGTCATGGCCAAATCTCCCTATTCCATCCATAGGGAAGGCCTGTGCCCTAGCAGTGGGGACATTAATAGGGTGATGATGATAATGAAGCTGCGCTGGCAAGTCATGGCCCAGTCTCCCAATTCCATCAAAAAAAATCCTATCCACCAAGTCCCCAGTGCTGGAGTACAGGTTGAATACCAAATCATCATCACCCTTTTTTTGTCCCCAATACTGGCGCATAGTCCTTCCCTATTGACAGAATAAAGAGATTGGGTCATGACCGATTGTTGGGTGCTAGCGACTGCAGATGCAACCGGGGCCTACGGATTAACGTGACTTTCGAAGTACGGTTTACCATGATAAGTAAATTTTTGGTTACCCATCCAATAAACGGCCATTAAGTTACTCAACTTGCACGATCGCAGACCGAGCAAGCTGATGATTTGCACTATCGGTCCTCTTGAAATTGAATAACTTGAAGTCTAATTGTCTAAATGTAATAATGAACACCTTTTGCAATGGCTCGTTAGGATGTGTGTCCAATTTTATTATTTCAAACTTATTGATACTTCAAAAGATACACGCTATTATTCTTGACTGAACAAGTGGAGAATATTTAAAAAAATCATAAACTGCTTTTTGATCAGTCATGGTATATTTTTTTTCTTATTAATTCTGGAAAAGTTTAGTGTGCTATGCTCTCCTGGTGATCACCGTCTACGTTGTCATCTGAATTAGTAAGATGCACTCGTGTGAAGTCTAGACGTGCCTCTAGTGAGATATAAATCTATTTGATTGAAAAGCAATTTTCCAAATGGATCGCTGATATGTACCTCGACTGTTCTGCATCCTTCTTAGAATACGTAAATAATAATAAAATATGCATTGCAAAACGTGAAATCCCAGAGGATGAACAAATAAGCTCCTTGTTCTCTCTCCTAATACTTAGTTTGTATTATCTACATTACCTATCAGCTTTTTTTAAGATAGGTAGGTCATAGCGGAGTTTCCTCTCGAATTGAAGCGCCCGCCTGGGAAAACTACCTTCACCATACAGAAGCTCATAGTGAAATGATTCCAGGGCTCCATAGGGTTAGAGGATATGGTCGGTCAGGGTAGGCAATCGCCCGAGTGACACTTTGATATCGCAAGCGTTTATAGGCTACCCTGACTGCTTGCTATCAGGTGGGCCATACGCTTGTATTCCCGCTTTTTACATAAGACACAGTTTTAAATGTTTCACGAATATGTTTTTATTAAAATTTTTAGACACAACTACGCGTGGCAGTGTAAAACCTAATGTATAATATAAAAAGTACACAGACAAAGCTAATGCCTAAACTGGTAGCTGTGAGAAAATATAACGGCTTACAATTTTCTAGTTATACTCGTGAATTTTTTTAATCCGCCAGATTTGACAAATATTTTTAGTTTGTTGCTCTTAGAAAATACAACCATCCAGTAGTTTTAACAACATTTTAAATATTTGTTAATTTCGATGTGATGCATACATTTGCATAATAATTAATTAAAAACTATATTGATTTCGTAGAATTTACTTTACACTTTACAGTTACATATAGTAAGCTTCCTAGTTGAAGCGCTGTAAATTTTGTATCTGTCGTCTTTACTGAATGACTAAAAGCGATGGAAGGAAATTGCAAGAAGTACGGGACCTTACAAAACTCATGTTCCAATGTAAATAACTAAAAATAATTTACTAGCGACAGCCGTGAGAGTCTGTGTTGAATGTAAGATGATCACTTGAGAGCCCTCGTTACGTAAAGGCGGGTGCTCTGCTGAGTGCTTGGAGGATCTTAAATAGGACGAACGGAATAATAACCTCTCATTGCATTAATTTATTATACACACTTACAGTAGCGTCGATGAATACGGAAAACCTTCGGAAGAATAGATTTGGAGGCTTTTCGTTTCATGATATTTTTAGGTTTGTTATTTTTTTATAAGCATGAAAATAACTGTTTGAATTTAAGATCTTTACTAAATTAAAGTTTCGCTGCCCAAAAGAATAGAAAATATTATTTGCTAATAATATATTTTTTGAATAATGTACTACCTACCTAATAAGTGTGTAATTTTTATGGTTATCTACTAAACCAACTTGCCTCCTGATCCGAGGTTTCTAATATATCTAGGCCTTGGAATTGGATGCAGACGAACAACTTATTAGAAAGAAAATCTATGTAGTATTTATTATTTACTGTTAACAAATGGAACGTTACTTTCTCTTACACGAGGCGCAAAAATACCCCCCTCCACCTAATTTTCAGTATAAGTGAAGTCCAGTCGTGAAGATACATGATGCGGTAGAAGGTATGACGCTCCAGCCATCTTCACCTTGCCGGCTTGAACCCAATCCCCTACCCCGTGGAGCCCTGAAACCCTACTCATCAGCAGAAACACAACAAATGGTACTGTTATTTTACTGTGGTCTTCTGCAAGGTGGAGGTTCATCCATGTCCATGACCCACCATGCGGGCTCAGTACGGGTTGGTGGGTGCTAACGACTGCAGATGCAGCCGGGACCAACGGCTTAACGTGCCGTCTGAAGCACGGAGGAGCTCGAGATAGTAAATTTTTGGTCACCCATCCAATGACCAACCACTGCAAAAGTTGCTCAACTTCAACGACCGCAGCCGAACGCGCTAACCACTGGCGCCATCGAGCTCCTCAGGTGGAGGTGGAGGTTGCTTCTCCAGATAGATTAATTATGTTAAAGCCGTAGTATGTTCCAAAGCTGTAAGTTATTGTTTTATTCTTCTGAAAATTTGGCTTACTGGTAGAAACCAGTCATCGAACATGGGCTCTTCCATGACTGTTTTAGTTAGTAGCTACTTAATAATAATTCGTATATGGGAATTATCTTAGTCAGACCTTAGGTTTCAATATATTAAGAAGAAATATTATTTTATGTTGTTATAAAATGTTTCATGTTGTTATAAATAAATTTCAGGACTGACCACTGAACTTGGCACCCATTTAGATCTCAATTCTTTTGTAGTTGAAGACAACAACCAAGGCATATATATTGAACATGGCTCTCATTTCACGTTTATGTTTTGATGGCTAAATTATTACCCTGCTGGATGCTTTTAAGCTTCCCATACTGACGTGAAATGCGTCAGCTAGTTTTCATCTCTGCTAAGTCGTAAAAATCCACTGGAGAAAACATGGATTTTATGCAGCCTTTTACATCACATCATCTAATGCTGAGGCAGGGTTCTGGTTATCCCTTAGATTTTTGAATTTGTATCTATAAATGTGTAAATGAGGGTTAATAAAATATACTCTATTCTATTTTATGAACACGGAACCCTAGTATGTGTCGCTTTCAATGCACAGCTCGACAGGTTTTTGCACTACAATTTCAAACTTAATAATAATTGGAGCTTCACAGAATCACTTGATAAACGTGGTCCCAGTGTGTGAGGAATATAAAACTCTATACGCCGAGTGTGTTTTATCTAGATTACGTAAGCGTTGTTTTTCAATGTGGCATAGTCGTAGTACCTACGTTAGATATTTTTCTTGAACATACCTCTTCCAATTCCATTTAGAACTACCTTTTTTGTAATCTGACGCTCATCGCTCTGTATTAGTTTTCTAGTTTTAATGTCTATGCTGTATTTTCGTTTATATATAATAATGTCACAAACGCACTCGAAACGGAACCGCGAAAGTGCTAGAGACCGAATGTGCCACAGCACCGCGGGTCGCGGGCGATCAAAATGCAACAAAAGTGTTCAAGTGCGATAGTTTAGAGACTTGTATAGTGAAATACAGTATTTAGTTAGTGTTTTTTAACGTTGTGTGTTAATTGTGTGAACTGTGTGGTGAATAAAGAACTGTCAAGCGTGAACTGGCATATAATTTCGAACCCCATCCCGACACGTAACAATAACATTAACACAACACGTTATTGGTTGAACAGAGATATTTAAAGTAAAGCTCATATTATAGGTAATTTTAAAAAGTAAAATACCTATAGATATATAACCTTAATCATAAATTACAATATTGATATACTTGCTTTGAATTGTAAATAATAATCATTTAGATGAATGAAGAGTTTTCAGGCATGGTCTAGAAAACAAGCTGAAAACAGTTCATCACCTAAATAAATTACAGCTCTTCGCAAACAAGATAGTACTTAAATGCATGCTATCTTAATCATATTCCCAGTTTTTTGTAGTTTACTATGTTTGAAGTTTTGCTTAAGTAAGTAATATCATTCTATACTAATATTTAAAAACACCTGCTGAATAAAATATATAAAATAGCGCTTGAAAGTGGCAGCGCATAATCAATAAATGATGACGAAAAATAAGAAGATTTTTTTAATTTACATAAATTATTTAAGTATACTTCTACGTCTCTTCTCTCTCTTCTTAAAGTCCTTTGAAAACAAATTTAATGGCGGATGAATAATTAATGAAGTTCAATTTTCTTCTCAAAGTTGGTAGTTGTTCAATAGCTACTCGGGATAACTTGAAGAAAAAAAAATCAACTTGTACCTAATACCAATCACAATATCATGACATCTTTAGAGTAACATTAAACGCTTTGCATAAATTATTAATATAAAGAACTTAAAGTACAAGTTGCTAAGGGCTCTCACACAAAACTGCGATGCGATACGAATTCGTGCGGCAAAGCTTTAGTTAAGGTGACCATACCTTCAACAGTAGACAACCGTATTGGACGTATTTAAGTAATAGTGGCATGCACACTAAAAAAAAAATATA